TATCGAATATCCTAAAAGAAAAAAAAGCAACTCCTTTTTCCTTCCCCCCCTGCCCGGCTCGATAAAAATGCTAAATAATCGGCCGACGTCCATATTTCACAAGCTTTTGGAGGGGGGAGGAAGGAGGTGGGAAGAGAATGGAGGCGCCTGCAGGGTCGGAGTTACGGTGCTGGCTCCCCAGGAGAGGGGCTATTTTCGCCGTTAATGTTTTAGAGCTGATGTTTTTGTTGCTTTCAGTCAAGAAGCAAGTTGCCTTGGTCCTCGCGCTCGCTTGCATAATGCGTCGTACTTGGAGGCTGATCAAACGCTGGGTTCTGCCTTTCCTGCCTGGCTCTTCCTCCTCCTCCTCCTCCTTCCTTTCCCCGGCGGGCTGGGGGGGCCGGGGAGTGGGAGAAGTTTTGAGGTGCTGGTAGCACCGACGCCAGCCGCCTCCTGGTTACTGCTCTGGTTATCTGGGGCTGGGAAACAAACCCATACCGGGGCTTTCGCCAGACCTGTAGGCCCGTCTTCCTGCTGTTCAACTTTTTTATTGTTCCCCCTTCCCCCCCCTTCCTAGTGCACTGGCTTTCTCGACAACCAGGGGTTTTCATAGAACGGGAGTCCGAAAGTCTAGACTGTGAACCGGAAAATAATAGGGGAAAGAATGGAAAGTTATGTCAAGGGCTTTGGGGGAAAAACATCGACGTATCGAACAAAGGTCCTGCCTGTATTGGAGAGAGAGGCCTGCATGTGAGGCCTGATTGTGTCGCATTTACACACGGGGAAGAAATGAGTGCTTGGTACTGGCCTAAATTTATTCTGTAAGTCTGGCATGCGACTGGGGAACACTTTTAGAGTGTGTGCAGTTTGTTTTGAGGGTGGTTTTATTATGTGTAGCAATCCAATAATAACTTTAATTTGAAATAATTTTTTTTCCAAAAGACTGCTGGTTTTTTTTTTCCATTCTGCCTTGTTCAGCAGAAATAATATTGATCCAGAGGTTCTAACACCATAACACAAAACTTTACTCAAACAGGATAACTTCCACAGTTTATGTATTGTGTGTGTTATGAATATGGAGCTTCCTGGTGCTTTAAAGGCTGTCAGAAAGAGTTGAGTAGTTACCATCTGACAAATATGAAGTGCATCCTCCATAATGAGAAAGAAGAGGAATTCTAATGACTTAGATTTAAATTAATTTTACAAGCTTTTCTTAGGGGAACTATCACTGTGGATATCCTTTCTTTGTAAGACTCTAAAAGCTAGCAAGCACTGCTGTGATTACTTCTGTTTATCTCTGGTATATTCTCTTCTCTCCAGTTTTCTCTCTCTCTTTTTCCTTCCCACCCCCAAGACTAGACTTGTAATTGTACAGGGGTGTTTTTTGGTATTCTATTTCTGCTTAGATTTGTGAGGTTTTTAAGTTTTTCATTTTGCTAAAAGTTTTTTAAAATATATTTTATATATATATATAAAAAAAAAATCCATAATGAACATGAAAGCAGTACTTGAAAATAACTCTGTACCCTTCTATTGTTAGGTAGCCTATGTAATAAATATTGATAGGAATGAAATGTATTTATGAATATATTAGTATTTCAGTTTTTGCAGCTAATATTTTAACAATTAATATTATATTTGAGCTAAGAAGTCTAAATGCAGTGTTCTGGTGAGTAAATAATGTAATTAATACTTCTAGTTTTCAGAAACTTACATGTTTTTATCTTGTAATAGTTTCTATATTTGTAAAATGTAGGTGATTGTGAAGGGCTTGGTTCAAAACACTAGTTTTGATCTTAAAATGGAAGGGTATTTTTAGTTTTTATCATTTGGTGTATCCTGTTGTTGTGGTAGAAATACAGGTAATCTGATTCCCCCCCCCCCCCCCCCCCCGAGGCCGATAAAAAAAAAAATGGTTTTTATTGACAACTTTAAGTCTGAATGTTCTTCAGTCTGTAGATGGGTCCATAGGTAGGAGCCTAAACAGGTTTTAGCTGTTAGTAGAAAAATTGTAGGTCATCCACAGTGTGGCATTACTACTTATTAATATAGATCTACTTCAGTAGGAGCGCCGACCTGTTGAGTAAGAGGCTTATGAAAATGGAGTCTTTTGGCCTGAACAACTTTTGCAAGACATTGAAGTGACCATTAGGGAAGCAACCAATATCTTCCCAGTAAATTAATAATCAGAACTGTCACTCTCAATTAGGAATCATGCACAAGTTCATTTTTTTATTTTCCTTTTTATATTGGACTTTGACTGTCTTCAAACATGGAATACAAATATTATAGAAAAAAATTGTAATGGAAACTTGTTCTTATAAAACCATTTCTAAATTTGAGGCCCAAAGCTATAGGCAACAAAGACACTGTAGTCCTGCAGCAGGTTAGCAAAAACATAGTACCGTTGCCCTTAGTGTCATGAATGAAGCCATGATGAATTTTTGTGCAGGTCCTTACATCACTGATAAGTACAGTTACTTGCTTTAAGACAATCCAGGAAACTAACCTGACTAAATTCCTTTTGTTTCTATGCAGTGAAGCCAAAGCCTGAGTAGGAAAGTTATTGTTTGACTAACCTACATGTTTGTACTTATTTCGCAGTGTAAGTGAACCTCAGAACTGTCTGTCTTAAATCTTATATTTATAGGACATGCTATATTTTCTAACAAGCAAATTAGTAAGCATCATGTAGAACACTTCTGATCACTTCTGTCACACTGAAACTAAATTATTGTGACAAATTATAATCAAATCCTGAAGTTGTATAACATGGTGTCCTATCGCATTGCCAAAATCATAACCTGAAACATTTCTGGGATCTCCCATTGGCCTGCTGGATGATCTGTGTCCTGTTCAGTGCTTGTCAAATTAGTAACACTCCCTATAAAATACTTTATGGACTCTATGACATTCTTAATAGTGAAAACTTTTAACCAAGCTGTCACTGCCCCATTCAGTACTGACTCTGAAGGTAATAGTACATCTGAATTTTTTGGTAGGGTAGCAGATTACCTTTGGGTCAGTGGGTTTATTTTTCTGAAGAAGTGATACTTTGAATTTGCTCTTAGTATTTTTATTTCTATATAGTACCCTAACAGATTTATGGCAGTATATGAATCAACTTCATGCTGAGCATTTTCATACTAAGTTTTAGTTCGGAACATGAGGTTGGAAACTGCAAAGCAAAGTCACATTAACTCTTTTTTTTTTTTTTTCCTTTTTTTTTTTTTTTCAATTTACATGAAATAATGTGTTTTTCAAGGAGCAAAACTTTTCAGACTTCTCACTGGTGATCAAGTATGACAAGATGCTTGTATGTAGTTGCTTGTTTCAGGATGTCTTTTTTTAACAAAGTGTTTAACTTTAAGACATGAATTCAGCAATCTTGTAAATAGAAAATTTCTAGCTGTACATGATACCAAGTGTATGGCCAGTGTGAAAGACAGCACTAAGTCAACAAGCTTCTCCACTGCATGCTTTCAGATACCAGTGATGGTTACTTTAGTGTGAAGGTTAGTTTTGAAGAGCAATTGTTCTCCTAATCCTGCCATGTGATAACATTTTTCTCATCAAGTTGGTAGAATCTAACTGTGTAAATATGCAGTCATATTCTCCTTTAACTCTGTCTGGCAGCCAGGGTTCGAGCACACATAACCAATCTGTTTACTCTCACTGTCTATAATAAGGCCTGTCTTGCAGTGTACTGACTGTTGCCAGTCTTACTTGACTCATGAACATACTCAGCACAAATATGGCAGAAAACTGCCATGAGTAAGAGCAATAGATAGTCATCTTCTGAAGTGAAGACTTTTATATAGGAAGAACTGGAGAAGTTCAGTGTATATCAACAAAGTTAATCACAATGATCTAATACCAGACTTCAATATTAAAGATACATGAGAAGTACTAGCAATGGTATTCAAGCCATGGTGGCCTTCAGTTGCTCCAAAATAAGCCTCTCTTGTCATGATTCATAAAGTAAGCGAGTTTGGAAAGGATCTCTGGAGGTCACTTTGCCCTGCTCACCACTTGACTTGATCTACTCTTGAATAAAT